AGTATAGTGTGAGCAGGGCCGATTGTGGCAAGTAGTAACGTATCTTGGAGAGGATCCCAACTGTTTTGGATACTTTTTTGTTATTTGTTGGATATGGGTGTTGAATTTCAGGTTGCTGTCAAGGTGCAGACTCAGGAATTTGCCATCATTATGTCTAGCAATAGGAGAGCTGTCAATCATTATGTTCAGCTGGGCAGCGTCTGCTCTGCTCTCAAACAGAATGTAGAAAGACATGGTCTGAGCTTGCTACCATCTGCAGCTCATAAGACTGCCATCCCCACGAGCCCCTTTGAGGCGGGGTAGATGGCAGACCAGAGATCTAGCTTCTTCCTACGAGCCCCGTGAGGGCGGGGAATGTGGCTAGGCCTGGGGACACTTGGTCCCAAAGATGAGGAGGTACTTGTACCTCCTCCCATGGGAGACTTAAGTCTCGAGACACTCCCCAGATAGGGAGCCAAGGCCGGGTCACCACTACTTGGAAAAGACCCGGGCCGGGAGAATACCGGCGAATAAAAAAAAAAAAAAAAAAAAAAAAAAAAAAAAAAAAAAAAAAAAAGAATGTAGAAGGTTTTGTCAGTATTAAGTGTAAGTTCATTAGCAGTCATCCAGGTCAATATTTTTACTAGTTGTGATGAATGGTTTAGAAAACCGACAAGTTGAAGAATTGAGACACTTATGCAACACATGGGAATCTTTATTGAAGAAACGTTTCGCCACACAGTGGCTTCATCAGTCCAATACAAAGTAGAAATGGGTAAGGAGAGGAGAAGTTTGAGGTAATCAGTCCCTCAACCTGGAATCGATGTGTTCAATTCCAGGTTGAGGGACTGATTCCCATGTGTTGCATAAGTCATTTTTACTAGTTCCTCATTAACAATAATGTTAAGTGAGGCAAGATTAGAGTGGGAGATGACATATGTTGTATCATCAGCAAAGAGAATAGGCTTAAGGTGTTGTGAAACTAGGTAGATCATTGATGTATAAGAGGAAGAGCAAGGGACCAAGGACACTTCCCTGTGGTACTCTAGTATCTAGTGGTCTTATTGATGAGGTTGTGTCCTTAACCCCTTGACTGTCGCAACCCCCAATCCTGAGGTGTCTCCTGGTGTCGCAAAATTTAAAAAAAAAAAAAATTATTCTTATGAAATGATAGAGAATCTTTTCCCAATTATAATGACACCAAAAGATCGAAATTTGATGGAAAACTGATGGAATTACGCTCTCGCGAAGTTAGCGACCTCGGCGATATGAATGTACAGTATATATACATTTAGACCGTTTAAGGGTTAAAGGCAGATCACAATGTAAGTAACATAATTTTTCAACTGTGTTCACTATTCTTTAAAAAATGAGGAAAATGTGATTTTAGTGTTCTATGATGCCTAGCAGTATTTATATTCCTTCCCGAGTTATTTATGCTAGTTTTACATTGTTTGACATTTTATGGCATTTTAAGGCATTATATCTGGTTTACATCAAAAAATAGGTTATATCATGGTTCTTGGAACCAATTAACCCCTTCAGGGTCCAAGGCCAAAATCTGAAGTGGTGCTCCAGTGTCCAAGAAATTTTGAAAAAAAAAAAAATTATTTTTTCTTACAGAATTAAAGAGCATATTTTTGTGAAGGTAATAAGACAAAAAAAAAAAATTTCTGATCAGTACTTACCGAGATACAGCGCCAAGAAGTTTGTCCAAAATGATGTGGTGGCGGCAACATCGACGATTTCCACATACGCGCATTACATTATTTAGCGGTTTTTGTAGTTTTTTCTTTTCTTTTTTAATTTTTTTCTATTCCTACTAACATTTGGGGCCTGAGAGACCAATATTGTATATAATGTATATATATAAACTCACTGTATTGAACATAATAACCGCACTAAAGTTATTATCATATTATTGTTTACCACTGTTGTTTATTACAATAAACATGCACAAATATTGTATAATACTAATGTTCTATCATATATTTACATATTTACAATCACTGGACATGGTTTTAGAACTGCTGGAGCTTGTGGAACTCCTTGAAACAAGGCACCATGCACAGAGGCACCTTACATTCCTCACACATAAACCGAGTGTCTTTGCATCTTTGTTGCCGTCGTTTTGTTTGTGCACAGACAATGCATCTCTTCTGAGCAAATTTCTTCTGAGTTAAGGAAGCTGTATTATGAAATGATCACCTTCCCTCCTCAAACGCTTGGGTATATCCTGAGTAATTCGAGGACCTTGTTGTATAGCAGGTGTTGTTACCTGGTACTTCATTATGAGTTGTCTGACAACAGACAAACAAAATTCACCATACGGTGGTCTGTTGCCAGTCTTTATTTGGTACATATTATATGCATTGAGCATTGAAATGTCCATGAGATGGGAGAAAAGTTTCATGTACCACTTGTAACTCTTACGAACACAATCAACAAAACCAATCTGCATGTCACACTTGTCAACCAAGCGCATGTTTTGTGTATAATCAATCACTGTCACTGGTTTTCGAATACGTTCATTAGTCACTCGATCAACTTTGCCACTGTCTTACATTTCATTACGGTGAATGGTTGTCAACAATGTGACATCTCGATTGTCATGCCACCATAATGCCATGATGTCATTGGCAGTAAACACCTGCACGTCATCACCACAAGCACCTGCGTTGAGCCTGGGCATATGTTTACGATTAGAACGCACTGTGCCACACACATCTGTCTTGCTCACTCGCATGAAATCACTGAGTAATGGGCTTGTGTACCAGTTATTGGTATATAATGTATGCCCCTTACCAAGATAAGGTGCCATCATGTTTCTCACTACATCACCTGAGATACCCAATAACATCTTGGTATCTTTCAATGTTTTACTTCCTGTTTATACAACAATATCCAACACCAGGCCACTGTCACAGTCACAGAGTACAAACAGTTTTATACCAAAGCGGTTCCTCTTGCTCGGTATATACTGCTTGAATGACAGTCTACCTTTGAACAAAATCAAAGACGCGTCAATTACAAGATTCTTGAATGGATAAAAGTACATGTTGAACTTTTGTTTCAGATACATAAAAACTTTTCTTATCTTGTATAACCTGTCATTTCTGTCAGGCCTGGTTTTGTCAGAGAAGTGCAACATACATAACAGTAAGATAAACCTGTTCACTGGGATGATTTCACTGAAGACCGGGGTAGAAATTAGCGGATCTGTGGACCAGTATGCTTTTATATTATGCTTATAGACATGAGGCATAAGCATTATTGTTGCAAAAAGCAAATACATTTCTGCAACAGTCGTCTCTTTCCACCGGTGTAGTCTTGACTGTGGTAATATGATCGTATTTGCCATGGTGTACTCAAAATACTTGTTACTTTCCCTGACAATAGTTTCCATCAATGGCTGGTCAAAGAATAATTCAAAGAATTCCAGTTCATTGGCCGTGGTTCCAAGGGGACAAGTAGGTAGAATTCCACTTTGAGAGTCATCAAAGTGGTGGGGCTTGGGAACAAAATTGGGATTTTGCTCCCAATCCCAGATATGGTTTGCTGGTGGATACTGGACATCATAGGCTGGTTGTGCGGGTGGTCGTGGTTGTGGTGGGCTGGTGGCTGACGCTCCGCTTTGTCCTTGAACTGACGAGTCAGCAGCGTGGGTCCCAGCCTGGGCTGGTGAGTCACGCATGGCGGTGCCACTACCATCACCACTACCACTATCTACTGATGCCTGTGGTCTATCCATGCCAAGCGTAGCCACATCATCCTCACTATCACTATCTAAATCTGGTGTAGGGCCACAGGATGTACTCCGGGATGTACTCCGTCCCCTGGGCACAGCATAGGGTACACTACCCGAGCGCATGCGGCGGCGTACATACCGACGCTTCACTGGTGAATATGATTCCTCACTATCACTACTCGAATGATCGTCAAGCGCAATAAAATCACAATCCACGTCACTATCATCATCATTACTGAAGTCAGAGGCCTGGCCACGCGAAAATATTAGTTTTCTCTTGCGTTGAGGCACAACCGACCGTGAGTCACGAGTGCCCACACCAGAGGTAGAAGGTTGAGGATCGTCAGGGTTTTCTGCACTATTATCGATATCCTGGTCATTCCTTTCGGTCACTAACTGATCAAAGCCATAGAATTCGTCTTCATTTCCACTTCCATCAGTGTCAGAATTATCAGATAGGAAGAGGAGAGTCCCAATTTTCCGGGGAGTGAGAGCTGACTTGCGACGAGGCATGGTGAACAAGGGTAATTGAGCTGGCATTCCCACAATGCTATGCAGGCGCCTAGATTTTTTGTTTATGGTGCACACCCACCACGCAGACCCGTTCTCTCACATGTAGGCCTATGAGCGCTTTCGCGCTAAATTTGACAGCGCTAGAATTTTGGCGTAGATCTACAGTTTGGACACTCAACATGAAGCCGTAGATGTACGGGACGGACCCTGAAAGGGTTAATGACATAGGGTGGGATATAACTGTACAATGTACATAAAAGAGCCCAAAATCGGGAACTCTCTGCTGGAAATCTCCAGAACCACCATCTCGGTCAGCATCTTCAAAGCTATTGTTAAAACACCTTCTCTCCCTAACATATCCCAGCATCAGCTAAGTATGTGAAAATTACATTTCCTCCAGATGCAATCACCCTACATACTAGTACTCTGGATATAGTCATGCTACATACTAGTAAACTGGATACAGTCAATCTACATACTAGTACACCAGATACAAGCACCCTACTTACTAGTACTCCAGACACAATCACCCTATACTATATTAGTACTCCAGATACTTACATACTAGTAATCTGGATACAGTCACCCTACATACTAATACTCTGGATACACAGTCACCCTACATACTAGTACACTAGATACAAGCACCCTACATACTAGTACTCCAGATACAGTCACCCTATACATTAGTACTCTGGATACCCTACATACTAGTACTCTGGATACACAATACATTTAACAAATCATAAAAATATTTTACCTTAAATCCTGAGCGTTGGTGCATGTCAATGAATGTGACTCTACTTGGCTGAGCTAGCTTGTACCCATGCTTGGAAACCATCTCCGACAGTGCACGACTGGCAGATGCATCTCCATATTTAATACCATGGAGGTGATTGCGCAATTTAAAGTTGTGGAACCAGCCGGAACTGAACAAGCAATCTTTTTTGGGTCTTCCTGCCTCCTCGCACACTGTCTTGTATAACTCTAAGGCTTTTTCCCTTACTGTGATGAAAGTAAGTTGTGTCCCTAACTTGGTTTTCTCCTCAATCCAGTCAATTAATAACTTTTCTGTCTTGTTTAGCTGCTCTGATCGATGTGTCATTCTTTTCAGGAGGGCACAACGAGGGTTGCTCACTAAACAAGTTCGTATCTCATCTTCTCTTTTTTTAATTGTACGAATCGATGCTTCGTTCAGACCATGGGCTCGTGCCATGTCCACCACACGTGCTCCTCTTTTAAGATTATCTAATATTTCAATTTTTTGCATAATGCCAATACTCTCACGCTTAAACTTCTTCTTGACACTTGCAGCATCACTCACATTCATCTTGGATTTCATGTTAGCATCCAGAAACATGACAAGCTGATGAAATAAAAAAAAAAATATTAATACATAACTAAGGTATGGGCCACATACGCACAGAGAACTGACAGACACCTGGCCCATAGGCTGGCCATCAAGCAAAGGCCAAACTTCAAATGGCGTGCCACATTTTCCTCTAAATTTAAATATAAAATAAAATAAACATTATACATAAAGGAGTAACAGTAGAGGCATACTTCGCTTTAAGGTACTTCCCAAAATGCCTAGACATGCTAGTAGATTTCTTATAAAAATAAATAAAATGAAATTTTATTTCTTTGCCATTATCATGCCAAGGCATTTTGGGCAGACTTAACATAATACAGTGGACCCTCGACCAACGATGGCATCGATTAATGATAAATCCTACTAGCGATACATTTTAACGCAAAAATTTTGCCTCGACTAGCGCTAAAAAACTCGACCAACACTATTCGTTCCGTCTGAGACACGTCCACTTCTGGCCAGTGTTTACAAGCCAGCCAGCCACCGCGGTCCCATCCAAACATACAATCGGAACATTTCATATTATCACAGCCTTTTTAGTGATTGCACCTGTAAAATAAGTCACCATGGGCCCCAAGAAAGCTTCTAGTGCCAACCCTACAGCAAAAAGGGTGAGAATTGCTATGGATATGAAGAAAGAGATCATTGCTAAGTATGAAAGTGGAGTGCGTGTCTCCGAGCTGGCCAGGTTGTACACAAAACCCCAATTAACCATCAGCACTATTGTGGGCAAGAAAACGGCAATCAAGGAAGCTGTTCTTGCCAAAGGTGCAACTATGTTTTCGAAACTGAGATCGCAAGTACTCGAAGATGTTGAGAGACTGTTATTGGTGTGGATAAACGAAAAACAGATAGCAGGAGATAGCATCTCTCAAGCGATCACATGTGAAAAGGCTAGGAAGTTGCATGACGATTTAATTAAAAAAATGCCAGCAACTAGTGGTGATGTGAGTGAATTTAAGGCCAGCAAAGGTTGGTTTGAGAGATTTAAAGGGAAGGGAAGTAACCCCGGAAAAGGACTTGCCACCTCAAGTCCTAGTGGAAGGGGATTCCCCTTCTAAACACTAAGACCATCAACACTCTCCCCTCCTCCCATCCCATCAATCATCACCAGATCTTCAATAAAGGTAAGTGTCATGTAACTGTGCATGTCTTCTTCAGTTTGTGTGTATTAAAATTAATATTTCATGTGGTAAAAACAATTTTTTTTTCATACTTTGGGGTGTCCTACACGGATTAATTTGATTTCCATTATTTCTTATGGGGAAAATTAACTTGACTAACGATAATTTTGACTAGCGATGAGCTCTCAGGAATGGATTAATAGCGTTAGTCGAGGGTCCACTGTACTTACAGACTAGTACTTAACTCTAGACAGGTGAAGAGTGGTAGAATACAAATATTCAATATTTTACTCTATTGTTAACATGAGGTAGTACAATTAATGATACAAACATACATTTTTAAGTTTGTAATAATGACTTGTAATAGTTAAGGGTTAGAGTTTAGCATAGTGTAGGTATGGTTGTTAATGAGAGATGAGATTATTTTTGAGTACAGTAGTCCCCCAAAATTAACAGGGGTTATGTTCCAAGACCAAATGCGAATTTGGAAAAAACCACGAATTCTGAACGCGGTTAAAAAAATGCTTATAAATGATTACTTTTACGGTTTAAACCCAAAATATGCCCTCAAAACACTTTAATTTCAAACTCAGCTTCATACATCACCCTTAAAAAAAAAAAGTAATGATAAACCTGTATACAATACTGTACTGCTATATCTCCTGCAGTGCTAGAATGTAAAATACCGATGTTACCCCCATATGTGCTGTAATTCATACAAGCCCATTTTCTTTGGTATATGTACAGTAAATGTATGGTAACAAATTAATTTAGAAAAAGTAAAGTTAAATGTATGGGTACTCACCAATAAGGAACGATAACAATTGAAGGTACAGTGGACCCCCGGTATACGATATTAATCCGTTCCTGAGAGCTCATCATATGCCAAAAATTATCAGAAGGCGAATTAATTTTCCCCATAAGAAATAATGGAAATCAAATTAATCCGTGCAAGACACCCAAAAGTATGAAAAAAAAAATTTACCACATGAAATATTAAGTTTAATGCACACAAACTGAAGAAGGTATGCACAGTTTGTAGTACTCTACTAACAATAGAATACATGACACTTACCTTTAATGAAGATCTGGTGATGATTGATGGGATGGGAGGAGGGGAGAGTGTCGAACTTATTGTTTAGAAGGGGAATCCCCCTCCATTAGGAGTTGAGATAGTAAGTCCTTTTCCGGGGTTACTTCCCTTCTTTTAATGCCACTAGGACCAGCTTGAGAGTCACTGGACCTCTGTTGCACAACATATCTGTCCATAGAGGTCTGTACCTCCCGTTCCTTTAAGATTTGTCTAAAATGGGCCATAACATTGTCATTATAATAGTCACCAGCACAGCTTGCAATAGATGTGTTAGGGTGATTTTCATCCATAAAGGTTTGCAGTTCAACCCACTTTGCACACATTTCCTTAATTTTTTAATTAAGCACAATGGATTTTACAACTGGCATAGGCTTCTCAGGGTTAGCCCCAAACCCTTCAAAATTTTTCTTAATTTCCATACTAATTCTCACCCTTTTTACCACAGGGTTGGCACTAGAAGCTTTCTTGGGGCCCATGGTGACTTATTTTGCAGAAACAAGCACCAAAAACACCGATAATACGGAATGTACCGAATGTATACTTCGATGCGAGCACACTGGCTGGCTTGTAAACACTGGCACACACGGGGCAGTTCAGGCCACATGTGAACGCATCTCGGACGAATTGCGTGTAGCGGGTTTTTTAACGAATGGCAAGGCAAAATTTTTGCGATAAAATGTATCGAATACCGGATTTAATGTATACCGATGCCATCGAATGCCTGGGATCCACTGTATACAGTATTATATTTAACATACTATATGAAAATTTTGCTGAATTTACATTAATATTTATGTTATAAAATTATTAAATTATATCTTTCTTAATGTTTAGTATTAAAATGCATAAAAAATTATATATTGGCATGAAAAAAGCCAAAAAAAATTCCACAAATTTGTGGGGATTTCTGCAAAAATTATTAGTTAGGTAAGGAAAACTCCACAAATTACTGAAGCTGCAAATTCAGAACCACGAATTCGCAGGGATCCACTGTATAGTCCTAAATTAATTTGTGGGTATGGGACCTTTTGTTGTTTCAGGCAAACAGTTCCAGATCTTCGGGCCCTTTATGTGCATTGCATTCTTGCATAGTGTGAGACGGACACGAGGGATGTCAATAAGTGTTTTGTGCCTCGTGTTATGCCTGTGTGTTCTGTTGAAGGTGTCTAGAAGTTTGAGTGGAGGGTTGATATTGGAGTTTAATGTTCTGTATATATAGTAGGCACAGTAATAAGTGTGTATATTTTGTATGTTAAGTAAGTTCAAGGTTTTGAAGACTCGTGGTGTGTTGTCTGGCACAGGAGTTTGTGATCATCTGCACCGCCGCTTTTTGTTGGGTTATTAAAGGTTTAAGGTGATTAGCCATGGTAGATCCCCAAGCACAAATACCATAGGTGAGGTAAGGGTATATGAGAGAGTGATATAAAGTTTCGGAATAAAGTTGCCTAACTGTTGCCTATGTGTCTTACCTACCAACCTGTCGGTATTGTATACCATTTTTTATATTCATCTTGTCAGACACTGCAACACATGGCCTCTTGGTACAGAAAACGCCTTAGACAACCCTTTCAAGTGAGAACTGTTGGATCTGAGAGGGCCCTGACCCCCTCAGGGGTACTTCTCACTACAATACTACTCTGCACTTCTCCTTCCGACAGATGTAAGTCTCGCCTGTCGCTTGATCTTCAGATGTTCCTGACTATGGAACTGAACTTCCCCGGGGCCGAGGGACTGACCCCAAATTCACGATAAAGGGTGATGGAGTTTTACAGTTTTACACTCTCTATTCCTGCCTACTTTCTGTATTCGATAAAAGAAGCCTATGTGTAGGCGAAAGTTTGGGATAAAGTTCCCTAACTGTTGCTTTGTGTTTTACCTACCAAACCTGTCGGTATTGATCCCCTTTTTTGTGTTCCATGTACTTGTAATTGTACATGTATGGTTACCTTTTACTTTTACTTGAAATTTTGGGGTTATACCTTGTACAGGGGCCCCCGGTTTAAAGAACTTTTTTCATTCCATAGTTTTTTTCAGGTCCCCATACTGCCCAAATTTTTTTCCCAAAGCAATATTGTGAAGTAATTAGTCCATTTCAGACCCCCAAACTACACTAGAAAACCACTTACATAAATAAATTAATAATTTGGGCGCATTTGGGGTGATCGTTTAAACGGGGGCCACTGTATGTAACTTGTACTGTACTGGTAACCCTTTTACATTTTTTGGTAACCTTGTACAGTGCTGGTATACCTTTTAATGTACTTGTTACCCTTTTACATGTACTGGTATACCCTTTTACAGTACTTGTATACCTTTTACATGTACTGGGGATACCTTGTCATGTCTCGTTACCTTTTAATAACTTTTATACCTTGTACATGTATTGTATCTTTTTACATGTATGGATACCTTGACGTACGGGATACTTGTACTTTTATGGTATTCCTTGACATGTACTGGTATACCTTTTCCTGTACTTTATACCTTTTTAATGTCGGTATACCCTTTTCATTATGGATACCTTTTTACATGTACTTTTATACCTTTTTACATTTCTTGTTACCTTTAATGTAGGTATACCTTGTACATTATTGTAACCTTGTACATGTACTTGTATTTCCTTGTACATGTACTGGTATACCTTGTCATTTTTCGTATACCTTGTCAGTATTTTGTACCTTGCATGTATTGTATCCTGTAATGTTGGTATCCTTGTACATTTCGGTATCCTTGTACATGTACTGGTATTCCTTGTACATGTACTTGATACCCTTTTACATGTCTTGTTTTACCTTGAAAAGTTGGTATCCTTGTACATTACTGGTATACCTTGTCAGTACTGGTATTTTCCCTTTTAAAGACTTTATAACCTTTTACAGTACTTTTATACCTTGACATGCTGGTTTTACCTTGTACATGTATGGGTTACCTTTTACATTATGGTATTCCTGACAGACTGGTATACCTTGTAAATGTACTTGTATCCTTTTACATGTACTGGGGATCCTGACATGTACTGGGATCCTTGACATGTACTTTATACCTTGTAAGTACTTTTATCCTTGTAATGTCTGGGATACCTTGTACATGTATGGTATACCCTTTTACATGAATGGTATACCTTGTACATGTACTTGTATACTGTAATGTATTGATACCCCGTACATGTACTGGTAACCCTTTTACATGTACTGGTATACCTTGTACATGATGGTATCCTTTTACATGTTTTCTGGTATCCCCTTTTACAGTATGGTATACCTTGTACATGTATGGGATACCTTGTAATGACTGGTATATTGTACATGTACTGGTATACCTTTTCATTTTCTTGTTACCTTTTAATGTATGGTATACCTTGTACATGTATGGTTTTACCTTTTTACATGTAGGTATACCTTTTTACAGACTGTAACCTTTTACAGTACTGGTATACCTTGTACATGTACTGGTATACCTTGTACATGTCTGGTATACTTTTACATGTACTGGTATACCTTTTTAATGTATTTTTTATACCTTGTACATGTCTTTTTACCTTTTACATGTATTGTTACCCTTTTAATTCTGGTATACCTGTACAGTACTGGTATACCTTGTAAGTCTGGTATCCTTGTACAGTATGGGGATCTTGTACAGTCTGGTATACCTTGTAATGTACTGGTATACCTTTTCTTTTACTGGTATACCTTTTACAGTACTTGATACCCTTTGGAATGTACTTTTATACCTTTTACATGTACTGGTTTTCCTGTAATGTACTGGTTACCTTGTACATGTACTGGTATCCTTGTACAGTACTGGATACCTTGTACGTATGGATACCTTGTACATGTCTGGGGATACCTTGTACATGTACTGGTAACCTTGTACATGTCTTTACCCTTTTACAGTACGGTAACCTTGTACAGTACTGGTAACCTTGTACATGTTTGGGATACCTGTACATGGGACGGTATACCCTTTAATGTACTGGTATACCGTAATGTATGGGATAACCCTTTTACATGATGGTTACCTTGTACGTACTGGGAAAACCTTTTACATGTGCTTGTAGTAAATATATTATTATTATTATTATTATTATTATTATTATTATTATTATTATTATTATTATTATTACTGCAGCAGAAGCATGGATGATGCTCACATGATGCGATATTTGGCCTCCTACCCTTCATCCAAGGAAGTGGAGGGTACTTCACGCTCCTTGGATCAAGAGTTCTTCACCAGCACCTAAAAATAACCCACCAGAGGTACACTAGAGAAGTATTACTTAAATAACCTTCACCTTTTTAACCTGATCTCTAACGTGTCGTTTTCTTGTTGTTGTTGGGGGTTATAAAGGCCAATGACGGCTTCATCTCCAGTCTTAATAATGATAAATATTATCTCTATTTACTACCAGCCTAGCCAGCCCCATCATTATATGATTAGTTTTGCTGATGACATAATGATTCACACTACCGGATTCTCCAACACCCAAAACATTCTTAATCATGTTTTAGCCTCGTGTCAGGACCTGGGGTTAATAATCTCAGGGGATAAAACAAAGATACTCAACAGGCGTTCTCCTCGTCAGAGAGGCACAGTTCGTCAGATCCAGTTGCATGATGGGTCTCTTCTAGAATATGTAAGCAGATACAGGTATCTAGGCTTTGAGGTTCCACTACTTGGACCTGTTGTAACGAGACTTTGTCGCCAATACAAAGAAAGGCTGAGAGCACTTAGAGTTGTGGCAGGTTTTCATCCCAGGTATGGTGCTAATGTTAAAATTGTGAAAATGATGTATCTTGCTTATATTAGATCATTGGTTGATTATGCAGCCCCACTACTTGCACTCGTGTCTGACTGGAAGCTTGGAGGGCTGGAAAAATGCAAAACGAAGCAATGAGGTTTCATCCTAGGATGCCCTCTTTACTGCCAAAGTTTTAAATTTTGCGGAAAAAACTTAAATTCCAAAGCATTAGAGATCGTGTTACTGAAAGAAATATCCTTATTGGGGTCAATATGCTTAGGCTAGCCCATTCAAAACCCCTGCACAGAAGCCCTCCAAACTTTCTCAGCACTGGTGAACATCCTTCCAGATGGATCGAAAAAACGGAACCGACCTCCGCATGGAACCAGCTACATGATCTATATCAATTTGGGACAACAGAGACATTTCCTGCTCCATGGGATATTACCCCATTCCAAACTACCATTCCTCCATTTCCCCCCAAAAACTCTTCTTAAATCACAACCAAAGCTTCGTCTTGAAGCCAAACATGTTGCCTTAAGCTGTATTGATAACTTAGTCACACAGAACAATCTTCACAAATTATTTACGTCGATGGTTTTTGTTCACCAGTCCACTGGTGCAGCTGGTAGTGCTGCTGTTGTCACACAGAGTGATGGCTCTCATAAAGAAATTGGAGCACGCATCAATAACTGGGCCTCTACCCTTCAAACAGAACTGTTTGCCATACTCCTTGCACTCAAATGTGTCATGTATCTAAGGTTGACACTTTAATTGTAACTGTTTTCTCTGTCATCCATAAATGCTCTCAACTCATTAAGTATAAATTGTGGCATGCTTGTGTCAGAAGCCAGACATAGATATGGAAAAGATTGTGGACAGGGGAGTCAGAGTGCACATGCTGTGGATTCCATCTCACACTGGTCTTCAGATGCATGATAGAACTGATAAATTGGCTAAGCTGTATGCTTTCAAAGGGGGTAGATTTCAATCTTGGTTGTCATTTAGCAGTTTGAGAACAATAATACGAAAAGAAAATTCAAATGAACTTTATTGACTTAAGACTTGGGAATTGACACAAGTTCAGTCCATCTATCATCATTCCATCATTCAGGAGGAGCCAATGTCTATGGTGCATCCAAAAAAATAAGCAGACCTTGGATGTCACTACTGCCCGGGTCCGGCTGGGTTACAAGTATCTTTGGCAGGTTAAATCACCACCACCAGATGTAGACCAAAAGAAATGTAAACTTTGCCAGATGGACTATTGTCACACATTGCGTCATTATGTACTGGAGTGTGATAAAACTAATGAATTTAGAAACAACTCACTCAGAAGTGTTCAAGAAATGGCTAAGTATTTTATCCACAGTGGTATATTGCAGACCATTCTGGAGAAATACCCTGACTTTGCTAGCTGTAAATAAAGCATTACCACATGTGTGCATGGGGTGCATGTGTGTGTGTGTGTGTGTGTGTGTGTGTGTGTGTGTGTGTGTGTGTGTGTGGGGTGTGTGTGTGCGTGCGTGTGTGTGGGTGTGTGTAGGGTGTGTGTGCGGGTGTGTGTGAGGGTTGTGTGTGTGCGTGTGTGTGTGTGTGTGTGTGTGTGTGCGTGGTGGGTGTGTGTGTGCGTGTGTGGGTGTGTGGGTGTGTGTGTGTGTGTGGGTGTGTGTGTGTGGGTGTGTGTGAGGGTGTGTGTGTGGGTGTGTGTGAGGGTGTGTGTGTGTGGGTGTTGGTGTACTCACCTATTTGTACTCACCTATTTGTGGTTGCAGGGGTCGAGTCACAGCTCCTGGCCCCGCCTCTCTTCGCTGATTGCTACTAGGGGTCCTCTTTTCTCCCTGCCCCAATGAGCTCTATCATACCTCGCCTTTAAAACTATGTATGGGTTTCCTGCCTCCACCACATCACTTTCTAGGCTATTCCATGGCCTGACTACTCTATGACTGAAGAATACTTCCTAACATCCCTTTGATTCATCGAGTCTTCAACTTCCAATTGTGACCTCTTGTGTCTGTGCCCATCTCTGGAACATCCCGTCTTTGTCCACCTCGTCTATTCCGCCCCAGTATTTTATATGTCGTTATCATGTCTCCCCCGACCCTCCTGGCCTCCAGTGTCGTCAGGCCGATTTCCCTCAACCTTTCTTCATAGGACAATCCCCGTAGCTCTGGGACTAGTCTTGTTGCAAACCTTTGCACTTTCTCTAATTTCTTGACGTGCTTGACTAGGTGTGGATTCCAAACTGGTGCTGCATACTCCAGTATGGGCCTGACGTAGATGGTGTACAGAGTCTTAAACGAATCCTTACTGAGGTATCGGAACGCTATCCGTAGGTTTGCCAGGCGCCCGTATGCTGCAGCAGTTATCTGATTGATGTGCGCCTCAGGAGATATGCTCGGTGTTATACTCACCCCCAGATCTTTTCCTTTAGTGAGGTTTGCAGTCTTTGGCCATCTAAACTATATTGTGTCTGCGTCTTCTTTGCCCTTCCCCAATCTCATGACTTTGCTTTTGGGCAGGGTTAAATTCTAGGAGCCAGTTGCTGGACCAGGCTTGTAGCCTGTCCAGATCTCTTTGTAGTCCTGCCTGATCCTCGTCCGATTCGATTCTTCTCATTAACTTCACATCGTCTGCAAACAAGGACACTTCTGAGTCTATCCCTTCCGTTATGTCGTTCACGTATACCAAGAACAGCACAGGTCCTAGGACTGACCCCTGTGGAACCCCGCTTGTCACAGGCGCCCACTCTGACACCTCGTCGCGTACCATGACTCGTTGTTTCCTCCCTGTCAGATATTCTCTGATCCATTGCAGTGCCTTTCCTGTTATGTGTGCCTGGTCCTCTAGCTTTTGCAGTAACCTCTTGTGAGGAACTGTGTCGAAAGCCTTCTTGCAGTCCAAAAATACGCAGTCGATCCACCCCTCTCTCTCTTGTCTTACTTCTGTCACCTTGTCATAAAACTCTAGTAGGTTTGTGACACAGGATTTTCCTTCCTGAAACCGTGCTGGTTGTCAATTATACACTTGTTTCTTTCCAGGTGCCCCACCACTCTCCTCCTGATGATCTTCTCCATGACCTTGCATACTATACACGTTAGAGATACAGGTCTGTAGTTTAGTGCCTCATGTCTGTCTCCCTTTTTAAAAATTGGGACTACATTTGCCATTTTCCATACCTCAGGGAGTTGCCCAGTTTCAAATGATGTGTTGAAGATCTTTGTTAATGGCTCACACAATATCTCTGCTCCCTCTTTAAGGACCCATGGAGAGATGTTGTCTGGTCCCACCGCCTTTGAGGTGTCAAGTTCGCATAGCAGCTTCTTCACACTCCTCCTTGGTTATATGTACCTCATCCAGCACTTGCTGGTGTGCCCCCCTGTTCTGATTTCTTGGAGTCCTACTGGTTTCCACTGTAAATACCTCTTTAAATCTTGTGTTGAGCTCCTGACATACCTCTCGGTCGTTTCTTGTGAATTCCCCATCACCCTTCCTCAGTCTGATTACCTGGTCCCCTTGACTGTTGTTTTCTCCTGATGTGGCTGTACAACAGCTTCGGGTCAGTCTTTACTTTTGATGCTATGTCATTTTCATATTGTCTCTGAGCCTCCCTTCTTATCTGTGCATATTCGTTTCTGGCTCTTTGGCTGATTTCTTTATTTTCCTGAGTTCTCTTTTCTTCTGTACCTTTTCCATTCTTATTACACCTAGTTTTTGCCTCCCTACACCTTTGGGTGAACCAAGGACTCGTTTCTGTTCTTCCCATTATTTCTGTTTCCCTTGGGAACAAACCTCTCCTCTGCCTCCTTGCATTTTTTTTGCTACATAGTCCATCATTTCTGTACGGTTTTCCTGTCAGTTTCCCTCTCCCACTGAATGTCTTGAAGAAGTTCCTCATGCCTGAGTAGTTCCCCCTTTTGTAGTTTGGTTTTTCCCAGCCTATTCCTGCTACTCTCTCCATTTGGAGCTCAACTATGTAGTCGAAGCACAGAACCACATGACACTAGCCCCCGGGGGCCTTTTCATACATAACCCTATGTCCGAACTACTCATGGTGAATAAAGGCCCAAACCTTCTGGTTATCCTCTCCTCCTCTCGGGTAGTGTCTCTAACAGTTAAAAGCATGGGGTTCTCCGTACCAACCTCACGGGGCCCCATGTTTGGGGGACCCCCAGGGGGCCCCCGGTTTTTCCCATCAATCTCCTTGTGTTTGAAATCCCCCATAACTGAAACTTTGCCCCCCCCATGTGTGCTCTCCTGGCCACCTGGGGTATGTTTTTATTTGCTCTGTTGCTCTCATCGATTCTTCTTTTGGGCCTCTGCAGTTCGTGGGGGGTTTCATTACTGCAATTATCACCTTTGTCCCTCAGACGGATTTTTTCTACTAAGTAGCCCCTTTTTCCCCTTTCCCCTCCATTCCTTTCCTTTTCTCAAAAACCCCACTGGTTTTTAATAGCAAGGGGAACCCCCCCCCTCTCCTCCCTCTGTTTTTCCTGAAATTTGATACCCGGGAGGGAAAGATTGAATCTGTTATTATTCTGGTGAGTTTTGTTCTGTGAGTGCTATTTGCTGGGGATGTCTTTTTTTGATCTTTCGTGCCACTCCTCATACTTTTTTGATTCCATCTGT